TTGTAAACATATAGTTTGACTACAGCTCACCAGACCATGTGGGGGTGGGGTGGGGGTGGTAGTGGTAGTGGTAGTGATAGAGAGAAAGAGAGGGGACTGTAAGGCGCGCTTTACAGCTTGTTTTCTAGCGTCTCCCAGAAGAGAATTATATATATAGATATTGAAAAAGCGTGGGTCACTATATTATCTGTTGGATACCTAACTAATATTGGGAAGAGACCCACGCTTTTCTTTATACTTATTTAAATAGTAATGCATTATTTATTTCAATAAAATAATTTATTTTCCCCAATGCAGTTTGCATTGTCATCGGGTCTTGACGAACGTCCCAAGTTTTAAACTAATTGGTCAGTAAGAAATGTTCGTATTTTGCTCGCCTGTTTTGATCCATGACGACAAAGGAAGTTAAATTAAAAATTGTAAAATAAAGCGGGAGTGATCTCCCCTAAACTTTCTCGACTATTCTGATATAACACTACGGGGAACAGCGACTAAGGATGAAGACACTATTTTTAATCAACTTTTAAATAGCTTACTTAATTTTTTACATTCTGTTTACGAAGTAGGCCTATAGAGAAAGTATTGTAATCGTGCAAAAAAAAAAATCGAGATTTTTCACAGATCTCGACGTTTTACAAAAACATCTCCCTGAGTCGGAAAAAACATAGTTTTGCAATTTTGTCAGTATGTCTGTGTGTGTGGATGTGTGTGTGTGTGTGTGTTTGTCTATGAACACGATAACTTGAGTACCGTTACAGCAAGGTTAATGACATTTTATATAAAAGTATTATATCAAATGTTTAGTTCTGTACCAGCTTTTCAGCGATTTACGGTAATAGGAAGTGGAACTTATTCTACTTTCAATTTTTCAATGGCTTATAACTTGAGTAAAATTTTACATGTAAGTAGAAGATCTAATTCTCTTCGTTTTGTCAAATTTTGAGTAATATCCGTTGACCGGAAGTAGTCATTTACTCTATTTCCAATGTTTCTCAAAAAGCGCATGTGAATGTATTAGGTACTAATATTATTCCGCACTATTATACACATATTGTTTGGCGTTCACTTGGTGCGCAATTTTTTTCTACGAGATTCTATTACCTTTTTAAAAGTTTAAGTATTTAAAATGGATTAAAAACCATGTCTATATCCCTAGTTGCCTTCCCCCTTAGTGTTATAATAACAAAATTCGAGAAAGTTTAGTAAAGATCACTCCCTTTTCATCAAAGAAAACAATGATTATTGTTCAAAGAGTTTATTAATCATTTAATTAAGTAAAATATAATGTCATAATACGTTGTCTCCAAGTCTCGAACTACGTTAAAACGTCTCTACACTTCGTAAAAAAAAGTAAAAGGAGATGGGCTTTTTTGTGCCTGTCTTTTCTGTCCTCCAAAAAGTATTATTTAAATTTCACATCGTATCTAACACGGATATGCAGCTACAATAAATGAATAGAACAGAACTGCACACCACACAGAGTAGAAGAGGGTAGAACAGGGTAGAACAGGGTAGAACAGGGTACAACAGGGTAGAACAGGGTAGAACAGGGTAGAACAGGGTAGAACAGGGTAGAACAGAACATAACAGAATAGAATAGAAACAATTACAAGCCGGATTTAAGCTTTTTATTGATTTATTGAACTGTAAAACCGACACCAGACAATAATTATTGTTATTCTTCTTGAGCCTATTTTTTGGCAGTGTTACAAAACTCCACTTTATATGCTCAACAAGCGTATACACAGAATGAACCTTCTGATAACATGATTATTCATGTATACTTCACTCGGCGACACACCTTGGCTTAGTCAGCTTGGGTAAGTTAACATTTTAATAAGCTACAATTCTTCTTGTCTCTGTACTCGCATGCAATTTTTCATTATATATATACATATATATATATATATATATATATACATATATATATATATATATATATATATATATATATATATATATATATATATATATATATATATATATATATAAATATATAAATATAAATATATATATATATATATATATATATATATATATATACATATATATATATATATATATATATATATATATATATATATATATATATATATATATATACTACCCAACTAATTGGTGGGACGGAGTGGTCTAGCGGTAGAGAGCTGGACTGCTAACCCGTAAGTCTCGAATCCGGGTTCAAGTGAGTAGACCGTCCCTGATGGGTACCTAACTCACGTTAGGGAAAGTAAAGGCGGCTGGGCATAGTGCTGACCACACTATCTCTTCATATGCCGAGGTCACAGAAACAAATTGAACTCTACTTCGCTTGCCCCATAGACCGTCAGGTTTGAAAGGGAAACTTACTTTTTACCCCACTAATTACACTAATCCCAGATCATACAAGTGGTGGGGAATGAATAAATAATATGCTGAATTCTACGTCTGTTTCTTCAATAACAGATTTGATGAGAAAAGTGAATATATTTGAACGAGATAATTGGCCCGTTGAGGGAGAATTACAACGGGCGCTAGGTTGATAGTGTTGTCTTTTTCTCTAAATCAAAATCAAAATCACCACCAAAACTTAAAATATAACCGGAAACGAAACATGTCATTAAAAGCGGATTTGTATCCAGAATCGGTATTTAATCGAATTTAAGCTTGATCTACACGTAGTTACTCCTCAATGATACTAAATATTGTCGTAGACATACACCTAAACCTTGCAACTAATCTCAAACATGACAAAAGTCGCATTTAGAGTTTCTTTTATGCGTTTTACGACTCCTTCAGCCCCCCCCCCCCCCCCCAAAAAAAAAAAGATAAAAAAGCAAGTCTGCGGTCGCATTCAACGAAATAAAATTTATATAGAAAATATAATTTTACCAGTGTCCGACCCCTCTACACAAAATTTAAATCATTCACCCCCTAAAAAATATAAAAAATGTCAAGTATGCACCTCCGGAAAGGAAAAAGTCTGAAAGAAAAACTGGTCGCATTTGTTGAACACACATGCTAAAAGTAGAGCCTACTTCTATAATATAGACCCGTCTCCTACTTTTGGCCGCTAAGTCTCAATAAAATTATTTTTTTTTCTCCAGGGGGTGGGGGGCATTATACATTTGGGGGATGCAAATTAAATTGCTCTCGGGGGGGGGGGGCTGACACTGGTAAAAATATTTTTTCTATATAACTTATATTTCGTTTAGAGGGGGGGGGGGTTAGACATTTAATCGGGGGGGGGGGGGGTGGGGGGGAGGATTGGCGGGGGCTTTGGGATTGGCGGGGGCTTTGCCCCTACCCGAAGATATACACGAAACAAACTCTGCACGCAAACGTTTTAAGATTAGACGAAATTGGCTTTTTAATTGTATGTTTAATCGAGAATCAAAGACTTCATATTATTGTTTGTACTTTCACGGCTTTAGACTAATTCTTACTATATGTCCCATGTGACGTCACGTTGCGTTTTCCGTATTACTGTGAATGTTTTAACTTTGCTTCTGTCTTCTCTATAGTAAAAGCCTTCCCAACAGAGTGACTGACAGCGAAACTTTTATTATAGATTCCGACGACGCTAATGAATCACCTCAACACGTTCAATACACATCCAAATCTTTAACTTTAATGTCTTCTACTTATACTACACTACAATATATTAATACGTCCTTTTTTTACCATGTCAAACCCCCAACTGTCCAGTCTTGTATCCTGCGTCATCGCTATTATTGTCACATCACTCTCACGCTGCACATATTCTATGAAATAAATTAAACCAGCGAACATACTCTGGAACCAAATCGCCTACCGTCAGTGTTACGCCCGGGTTCGATTCAACTCAACAACGATTCGTGACACATATATTATACTTTTATTTGGACTCAATTCTTCACGTAACACAGTAGCCCTCGCCCTAACCGCTGACAACCCTTTACTCCAACTTTTATACCGCATTCGACCTTGGGATAACAATACATAAACACACCGGGGTTAACAATACCCTAGGGTAAACTAAACTCACACACGCACACTCTCCTAATTCTAGATTATTTTAACCTATTTCTATCTAACCTACAACTGCCCGTAACAGTCAGAACAAACTAAGCTTATATTGTCTAGTCTTTTATATATATTTATCTGAGCTATGACAATGTACATCACTCCTCAATACACGACATACATCACTACCCAAGACTTGAAAAAACATAACTCCACATCACCCTTCCTACACCTAAAACCACACTCCGAGCTATCCCACAACAAACCCCCATACTCCTAACGGCACAACCACATTCCTCAACCCTCAATCAACACAACACCCACTAACCCCAAGATCTACACAATCAATCAATACATAATATACACACTACTTTCAATAAACTCGAAACACCCTACTATCCCATCACACACATCACACAACACACGTCTTCAACCAAATTTCATATTACCCCACCCAACACCTCAACATGAAATCTATCGAAGCCCAAAACTCCGAATCACACTACTCTACACCTACCACTTCAACCAACACGACATCCTTTAAACCCACAACCCAGAAATAAACGCCATGTATCATTGTGGTATTGCAAATTGATAATAATATCAGCATTCATTTGTAGGCCTTCACTAGATTTTGATAATTTCAATACTACACATAAAAAGAAAAGACTTACTTTGCCTTTATTATGTTAAGGTATCATGTTTGTAATTTTTTGTATCAGTGCAGATTTTTATATTGTTGATGAAAGTAGTTAGAATGAAGGGGTAATTTACAAATTTTCATTGTATAATTTTTTGTTGAAATGCATAATTGTAATTCTTACTTTAATGTCTGCTTCCATACAACCAGCAAAATAGGACAAATCAACCACAAAAGAAAAGTGTCCATTTATATGATCTTATTAGTATTCTTGCACAATTCACAAATAAAAGCGAATTAAATATACTTTTAAAATAGACATCTAATGACTTTGCCATTACTTGAGGACATCTTAATTATACACAGTAGAGAGTCAATGGATCAAAACAATGAACTGTTGTTCGCATCATGGGCAGGTGATGAGGACACCGTTGAATCATATTTGGCTTCAGGTCGTGAACGAAATGTTGTAAATAAATTAAACCAGAATGCACTTATTATAGCTTCTATAAATGGGCATGCAAACGTTGTTAATCTACTCTTAAAACACGGCTTTGATGCTCGTAATGACGAAGGGAATTTTGCTCTTAGATTAGCGTCACAACATGGCCGTCTAAAAACCGTCGAATTACTTTTAGATCGAGGCAGCAATGACATAAATCCTGCTTTCCTGCTAGCGTCACAAGGTGGACACAATAAAACAATAGAACTACTTCTAAAAAGAGGCAGCAATGTCAATACTGTAGACGAATGTGGGATGACTGCGTTAGCTAAAGCATCTGAAAACGGGCATGATGAAACAGTCAAATTACTGCTAGACTATGGAAGTGATATTAATATCGCTAACCATGCTGGCTTTACTGCGTTAATGGGAGCGTTACGATATGGACACACCAAAACAGTAGAATTACTTTTAGATCGAGGCAGTGATGTTAATGCTCAGGACGAACATAAATTTACTGCTCTAATGCATGCATCAAAACAGGGACGCGACAAAATTGTGAAATTGCTCTTGGATCGAGATAGCAATGTAAATGCTACAGACAACAATGGCGAGACTGCTTTAATGAAAGCGTCACAAATTGGACATGAAGCAACAGTGAAATTACTTTTAGACTTCGGTAGTGATATTGATGCTGTAGATAATAATAGAGAGACTGCATTAATGAAAGCGTCACGATATGGATACGAAGCAGCAGCGAAATTACTTTTAGACTTCGGTTGTGATATTGATGCTGTAGATAATAATAGAGAGACTGCATTAATGAAAGCGTCACGATATGGCTATGAAGCAACAGCGAAATTACTTTTAGACTTCGGTTGTGATATTGATGCTGTAGATAATAGTGGAGAAACAGCTTTAATAAAAGCTTCACATGCAGGACACCCTGAAGTAGTAGCAGTTATTTTACAGAAAAGAAGTAATTTGAACGATGTCGATGATGCGGGTGAAAGGTCTTTAATTATAGCAGCTAGGAAATGCAACATAAAAAGTTGGGACTTCCATGCACGTGAATTCCTTTTAGTGGACAGAAAAAACATAAATTCAAGAAACGAATTAGGCCATAATGCCTTAATGAAAGCCGCATTAAAAGGAAATGATCGCTTCCTGTTATATTTGTCTTTACGTACATATGATTTAAACGCTACTGACAATAATGGAAATACCGCTTTAATGCTGGCATCAGCAAATGGCCACTGCTTATCGGTAATAAAGCTTTTGTATAATCGAAATATTGATGTTGAAATTACTAACAATATCGGAGAGACTGCTTTGATGCAAGCTTCTAAGAATGGACATTATGAAACCGTTACACAGCTTTTAAATCACGATGACAGTAATATTAACGCTGTAGGCAATGACGGCAAGACTGCTTTCATGCTAGCATCACAGTATGGACACGATAAAACAGTTGAATTGCTTTTTGAACGAGGAAGTGACATTAATGTTGTAGACAAGAACGATTGGTCTGCTTTAATGCTGGCATGCGAAAATGGGCACGCTGAAGTCACACAGCGTCTTTTGAAGAAAGGAATAAACGTGACCCAACTTAGTACTGATGGTCTAAATTCGTTAATGATTGCTTCATTAAATGATCGTACTCACTTAATTGACCTGCTTATCAACTGTGGCACTGATATTAATGCAACTAATAATGATGGAAATACCGCTTTAATGCTCGCTTCAGAAAAAGGCTTCTCTAAAACAGTTAAACGTCTTTTAGACAACAAATGTCTCAAAAATTGTTGTAACACTAGCAGGATGACTGCTTTAATGTTAGCCACGAAACACGGATATTATAAAACGGTCGAACTGTTGTTAAAGAATGAAGCCGATGCCAACATTGTTGATGAAAACGGTTGGAACGCCTTGCTGATTGCTTCATTGTACGGACAGGAGACCGTTAATGAAATATTCTTAAGAAGTAAACACATCATGTTTACTGTACAAGAAAAAGAAGGCCTCTCCTGTTCAGGAACTTTGGACGACGAGTGTCTTCTAACTGACTTCGTAAAGGTACAGTTTTAGTTGTTATTTTTATTGAGTACAGGGTATCGTGATGCAGAAAACATTAACGTTTGTATTATACATTTTGAGTAAAGCATATTGGGTTTCCATATAGCCGAGATTGTGATAATACTAAATCGGCAAATACATAGGCCTACATAATAGTTAATAGGTGATTAATATTCCAATGTAGTTAAATACAATTTTTATAATTAAAACAGCTGTAGAAGTATTGTTATCATTTCAAAATAAAAGTAAATACTCCTTTTTATAATGACATTATGTTGACATTGTACTTTATAGGACAGCAAAGCACAAATATTATTGGGATCTGCCGAATGCTTGAATAAATGGTGGAATCTTATCGTAGAGATGACGAACTCAAGATTGGACATTTTAAGAAGTAGCTCATCCTTTAATAGCAAAATAATCGACGCAGTTATTGATTTGTGCAAGAATCCAAATGTACCTGTAACAAAACATAATGAACCAGTAACTGAAGAACAGGTTGCTTATGAATGTTCAAATACATTACATGCTGTCATATTAATTCATTTATTCAGTATATATTTTGATATACTTAGAGCTGAATTATATCAGAAATACGAACTGTCTATTAAGGTTAGTGAACACATTTATACGTACTTCTTACTTCGCACAAAATATTTTTAATACTGATTTAAATAATTAATTTTATTTTTCAATTTCTATTTTTTATGGCTTAGTTTTGATGCAATTTGATTATAAAAATTGTAAATCAAAATTACTCTTTTTTCAGCAACCGTCAGCTGAGCTGAGATTGTTTATTAACGCCTTAAACGTTCATCTCCAAAAGCTACGAACTTTTGTTTTCCAAACGAAACAAATAGAATACAACGAAAACAATTTTATTTGTCTTCTTAGAAATCTTGTGGAAGGTTTTGTAAAACAAATAACTCAATCTCAAGAGCATGTGACGTCACCAGTTGGTTATAAGATGTATGAAGAGGAAATTTGGTCCAGTATTCTTGGTCTTAAGAAAGAGTTCGGGAAAAAGCTACACCAGGTTTCTCCTGAAGGGAAAGAACATCAAACAGAATCTTATTTCTTGAAATGTTTTCTTCAAAATGAAGTTGATGACAGCGAAGAATTGAGCTGTGTGACGTATATTGAAGCAATAAATTTTGTCGAAAAACTTAAACAAATTGGTTTTCTAGATGACACGGCTAACTTTATCGCAAATAATATTCCACCAAATCTGGTTGAGCGACAAACGATTTTATTTTGGGCATTTAGGTACATAGACAATATTTTCCAGTATCATCCAATGATTTCTGATTGTCCAAGATTTCCTTACAACACTGAACTAACGGACACTTGGTTCCTGTGGAAGGTTACCACTGAGTACAGGGACGATGAAGATGGTGATGATACAGTGCCGATACACATGATAAACGTAGCAGACCGACAGTTAGACTTTGCCGCTGATCAAGAACTGACGTGTCCACCAAACAAACGTCTGCTTTACCACGGGACGACACACCAGGGGGCGTGTTCTATCCTCAAACATGGCATCGTCTTGTCGTCTGGCAGCAAATGTCAGGACTTTTCACACGGAGATGGCTTCTACCTTTATTTTGATCCACTGAAAGCAAAAAGTTGTGGTCAGGCCTTAACGTTAACCCATTCTGCAATAGTCGCATTTGCTGTCGACGTACAGACTCTCGATCCTATACAAAATAACGGCTTGGATTTGACCAATAACAAAAGTCTGTGGCTAAAAGTTATACAAAACTGTCGTAGCGGCTACTTTGATAAAAAACTGAAACATGAGTTGTTGAATGGTTATGTGTTTGTGATTGGCCCAGAGTGTACACGCCCTGGTTCACTTTACGCACTAGATACTGATGACGGTAGTTTGTTGGGAGATGTCCAGTTTTGTGTGCGGGACGAAGAATACGCGATCAAGTTTGGAACATTGAAGAACATTGCATTTGTTATATTTTACTAAGATCAATATATATATGTATATATATATATATATATATATATATATATATATATATATATATATATATATATATATATATATATATATATATATATATATATGTGTGTGTGTGTGTCTATAAATATATATACATGCATACACTATCCTATTAAATATTAAACATAAATGATAGTTATGAATGTATTTAATATATTTGCAGATTTTAAAGAGGATTATTTAAGAAAATAGAATGTCGACTATTTTCAAAAGGAAATATTTTGCATCCCTGGATTTTGAATATTCTATCAATACACTAAACATTAATGCAATGGATTGTTGCCGCTTTAGCTTGCGTTTTGTAAACAAAGCGGACACAACACAACTACTTCAGGACAAACACACATTGGATGTATCTATTTCAGTGTTTGTGGAAAGTATCATAACATGTTGGAATCTAAAGCTTAACAACGATTTCTTCGATTTTATAATTTCCTCCTACTTCTGGGGCCTGTTGAAATTTCAACGTTATCCTTATAACCCGGATGTAACAAACCAAGTCTTTGATCAAGTTATTGAAAATAAACGGTCACATACGTATAGCACAGGTAACAACGCGGTTAAAATATTTAACATACAGGCAGGTGGCAGTGATGACGTAGTCATGGAGTACCTGACAGAAATATCACGTGACACGTCACGCACCTTGCTGTACCATGGCACCAACCACGCCGGTGCCCAGGCTATCTTAGAAAATGGAATCGACTTGACCAAAGGGACTCCCAACAATTTTCTGTCACACAAAGATGGCTTCTACCTAACCGACAGCTACCACAGGGCATGGGCCTGGGGAAAACACGACAAGCAGTCTACGAGACCCGCCGTTCTCGTGTTTAGGGTGGACAACGAAATGATGGACACTGAGGTAAAACATGGTCTGGATGTATCAGACGACAGAAATGCAGCTCACGTGACCATGTACCAGAAGATTTACGATCTTTGTAAAGCTGGCTATCTGAATGTGGTTCCAAATTTTAAGAAAAAAGCCATACAAGACTTCAGTTTTATTAAAGCACCTTTTAAGAAACCTAATGAAAAAAGCGATAAGAAATTGATGCAAATTTGCATAAGAAAAGAGAATTACGCTGATGAATTTAGTTCACTACACAATATTTGTTGCGTTGTTTTTTATTAGACAAATGTTAAATGAGAAATGTTCAGGTTATCGAGGCAGCCATGCTGTCTTTTTTCAGTTTTTGTTTCAGTTTCTTTTATGTCTTTTAACTATCTTTAAAAAAACGTGTCTTATTATCGCTAATCTGTCTGTATTTCATCCCGTTTCCACTGTGATATATTATATTTCCAACGCTTATAATTCACATATTTATCTTGATTTATAACCAAGTGCCATCACCCAAAGTATCAAATAAGTAAACTTTTCTTTAAAATTAAGAATTACTGTTATTTTATGTTTATTTAATACAAGTTTACAAATAAATGAGATGCACAAGTATAATTATACCGCAAACTATTGATAAATGTTTATAATGGTGAATTTATTAGTACGCAATTATAAGAACGTTTTTTTTATTGTTATTTTTGTACAATTTTATTTTTGTTATGACATGTATCTACCATTTTGTTCGAAAACCTTTGACATATTTATTATGTAGAATTTATCATTTTTTTTGTTCAATTATTTATACGTTAGCTCTATGACTGCGAATGAAGAAATAAATTGCATTACACTGTAATAAATTAAATGAAAATATTATTCCCATATTAATAGAAGTTTTAATGTATGCAAATGATTGCAAATTAATAATTATCAAATATTAACTCAATGCATTAAATTTGGAAATTATCATATTACTACAATTAAAATTACTAAATTACTAGATTACTTTTTATACTTTTAAAATTTATAAGTTCAGAATAAAAGTTTCCAGACAAATTTTAATTTTTGTTTTATTTCGACGTTCCATATTTTGTCGATGTAAACAAGGTCACATATCAGTTACCATATTAATCATATTTATGTTAAACTTGGTCTTCTCAAAATGTTCAGTGCCATTTTCACATTTGTAGAGATTTTACTTTCAACAAAATTATTTTACAGAGAATCAATGTATATTGCAATAAACAGATTTTTCATATAATATTATTAAAACATAGTTCTCTTTAGGACCGTGCAGTGTTAATTTTTGCTACTGTAATTATTGTATATGTAACCATGGCTGTTTTGTTTCCGAAACTACTAAATGTTTATTTTTAAATTATCTTCAGATGCTGAATGTATTATTTAAAATATTATAATTTTTGTTATTAATTAAAAAAAATGTTTTAATGCTACATTATCGCTCTATATATTTAACAGTTTAAAAATATTTTTAGAGAATTATTTTTTTTCTCTTACAAATAACGACGGCAAAATATACATTTACATATACAAATGATAAAGGTTGTGTGTGCTTTGTATTGAATTTTTAATTTTATATACCTACATTACATTTGAAATTTTACAACAAACTTGAATTTTGTCATTATAAAAATGTTTATTTTAATTTAATATTTATCGTTTGATTGAGGTGTTGCAGAGGAAATGAAATTTAAAAAAAACAACAATTGAACCTTTTTTTAGGTGTTTTGCATAAATATCGGATATAATAAGGAACATATAATATTTTTTGTTTGTTTCAAATGTTTGCTTGTTAAATGTAATGGGGTCTTTATATATAGGGGTTACATATATTATATATCGTTATGAATTAAAGTAGAAGAAAACCAAACTA